TCTATGATATGGAAAAGCATTAAAAAGTTATAAGATTTGCCAACAGGGTGCAGCACTATATTTTTTTTGCATTTACAGCTAATTTGAACTAAGCAGCAACAAAAAATTGTGATTCGCAATGAAAACTGTCAAAGTAGGATTGTTTACAGTTATGTTAATGTTTTTCATTTCATGAATAATTTGTGATATTTTGCGAATTGTTGATAATCTATTTTTCTCTATTGTTTAGGTGAAGTGGTAGTACATTATTGCTATGGTAGAAGTGTAATACTATAGAATACTGTAAATTTAAAAAAGCAAATTTTATCAAACTGTGTCCTTCCTTATTGCAAACGCAAAGCTTGAGTATAGCTGCAATAAGCATTTTATACGTATATTCCAACCCCGTACGAAGGACGGGTACTCTGCTAGTACCTAATATTTCCAGAACAATAAACACGGTTCAAACTACTAAACAACCACAAATAAAACTAATTTTGTAAAAAAAATGTCCGAGATTGCATTTAATCAATTTTACTGTGGGTTCCATAATTTGAAGACAATTGTGTTTGAATTTGTCTAAAAAACTAGCCCAAGATCTCATTTTCTTATGTTCTTGATTTCTTCTCGAACCTAGAACACTTATCGGAGATCGAGACGCAACTATAACTTATTTTAACGAAACAAAAAATAAAAATAAATAAGTTAATGTCGGGTTTGGGATAAACTTGAGATGCCTTATGTATTTTTTTTACTGACTTTCCATCTAATCTAAAAAAAATTGAAACCAAGAAAATATATGAAGTTCAGGGCTATCTCACCAGAGGGAACTAGAATATTGGGTTAAATATTTTATCTATAAATTAAATTCCGTGAGCGAATTGTTCCCCACTAAATATCTCGAGCTAGAAAAAATGTAGCATGCATGGCTGTTGAGGATTAATTTTAAAGCTTAAGGTCCTAGGACGGCGGGGAAATATCAGAAGTTTCAAAGTTACCCCTGCTCTGCCCCACAGGCCGTCAATGATTCAGTAATTTTCTAATGGAAGGACTTACTGTGTTGCTATAAGCTGTTTTGAAGATATGATGTAAACATTGCGTACTGTATTTGTTTGTTTATTGATTTTAGTGTTCTAGGTGTTTTAGGTTACAATGGTAATGGAGAGGTTTTTAGGGGAAGACCGTGACTACGAAGGAGAGTATTTGGGAATGGTACACAGCATAGGGGAGGGATAAGGCCAAAATACAACGAAGGTGAAGGGCAGCAATTGCTGCCACGAATACTAGAAAAGACCCTAGTAATCGTGATTGCTGCTATGGGTCTGGGTCCTAGTACTGTATTAATTAAAATCAATGCCAACAGCTGATTGATTTATCACTTGACACAGCATATTGTTATTAGTTGGTAGACCATCTCAACAGACTACACTACGTTTTTTCCATCAAATCTTACATTGGATGGGAAGTCTCCTAGTCAATGCTGATACTACTAAGATCAGCTGTCTCTTAGCTGAAGCCCAACGACTGGTACCATTTTGGGTCAAGTTTTGAAGGCTCTTGCAAAATGAAGACCTCTATTTTAAATTTGGTTATTTACAATTAGACCATCTTAAAACTAAATTGGAAATATTCCTATACAATCCAGACCCTTTTGTGTTGCTCGATAGTTCACATACCTAGTACAACCCACGGAACACTGTGGTACACAGTACAGAGTACAGACTGTCTCGCCAATTTGACTACTTGAAGCGTCCAGTGAGTGTACCTCATAAAATAGTGCAATTTTCTTTCATAAAATGGTGTAATTGAATGTTGTAACAAAGTGAGCGGTAATTATCGGCGGCGTGCTGCGAGTTTATGGCAGATGTGATGACACTGTTGTACTGCCAGGGTCAGATTCCTTCTGAGAGCGTCACGAACACGAGGCAGGACGGGGTGTGGTGAGATATGCGGATCCCAGAGTGTTCTTGTGTGTGGAATAACGACAAACATAATAAGCTGACTGAGTGGTCAAAAAGCCGCCGGTTTGATGATGAGACAAGTCAGTTGGTTAATTGTTCAAAACTGGACCGAGCTATCCTTGATCTTGTCTGGATAGAAACAGCTGATAGCCAGTATTAAAGCTACAAATACTATCAATTACATAACTAACCTTGGCTACTAGGTACGAATTCAAAATTATCATTGGCTAACAAAATTTTACTGTATAAAGTTATGATCAAACCAATTTGGACATACGGAATTCAACTTTGGGGGACCTCGAGCAAATCCAACATCGAAATTCTTGAACGATTTCAGGCTAAGACGCTGAGAAGAAATTATTGGCTCACCCTGGTTCGTATCCAACACTACAATTAGGAATGACTTCAAAATTAAATCAGTGAAAGAAGAAATTACAGACCTTAGCAAAAAGTATCAAGAAAAATTAGAATATCATCCGAACAGTCTTGCTGTTTATCTACTGGACAATAGTCAGTGCATTACCAGATTAAAAAGTGTTCTGCATGTGCTGGACCTAAGCTACAGATTTCTGTAAATATTTAAATGATTGATCCAATTTTTGGCAAGACTTGTTGATGAACAGGTGCTTGCTTCCTGACATTGTTTTGATAAATGTTTTACTTATTGTTCTCATATTTGAACAGATTGTAAAATAAATTCTGATAAAAAAAACCTTAGTAGACTTCTAGCCCATTGTAATATCTAAAGCTTGTTGTTTTGTACGTTGGTTTTCTATGCATGTTGGTGACATTGAACGCTAGCATCGACGGATTCTTTTATTTTAGAGTTAATTTTACGATTTGTGTTTTACTGTTTAGTGTTGGGTCATAAAACCAGAGGACATTGTTTATAATTATACATTTTATTTTGTTAAAATAGATATGAAATAACTGAAAATGACGAAACAAATTGTCAACAAAAACACACACACCACATGCACCGTTCGGAACTAGAATTAACATTTCTTCAGCTCCTTAAGTATGACGAATCTAACGTTTAATCTACGATTATTCATTCACCCTGCATTCAAAAAATCCTGGCTGAAATAAGTAGTTGCATTTGAGCTCTTAGATAGGCCCTACACCATGGTTCAACACCCATCAGAGGTTACTAGAACAAATTTAGTGTGATTAAATTTAAATTTAATTTAATTTAGTGTAATGGCTTTAAAGTGGATGAGAATTAATGCGCAAGGGTTATTTTAGTTGTATATTATTTAATGCGCTATTCAGAGTTCATATGCTGTGGTATAGTGAATACACTTTCATATTATTGTAGAGGTTGAATCTTTTTGGTATTGGTTTCATGTGGGTAGGTAGAGTGCATTGGTGTTTACCTAATTTGTCTTTCCGATTTTAGGAAAGAATTTACAATTTACTCTCTATACTTTGACTGGAGAAGTATTGTAAAAATAAATTTTTGGTTATGCCGTATCGGTGTGAAGTTAGTAAAATATAAATAAAGTGAAGCAATGGCCGCATTCAATCGGAAACAGAGAGTAATATCAATTTTTGCTTAAATTGTCTTTAGCTGATCCACAAAGATGATCGATCCATATGAACGAATGAATGAAACATTGATACTTCTGCACTTAAAACCGATTAGAGGGAAAATTAAGGATTCAATAGAATTAGTATACAACCTCTTGAATATGTGTTATCGAATCTCTTTAACGATAGAAACTACATGGCATTGAGAAAACAAGACGACCAGCCCGCGTTGATTTTATTGCTAATAGCTCCATAAAAGTATCGGCAATTAGACTGCAGTATCTTTATGAGGACGATAAAGGTTACGCCGTTGCTCAGCAATGGGACTTGCATCCAGCTATTACAAGAAAAGCTATATAGTTGTGATAGAATACAAGATGTGTAAATTGTACCGGTTGTTCCTCTATGTTAGATGTTCATTCGTACACACATGATGAATTTCTTACCCAATTAATTGGTAGGGGTGGAAAGACAAAAATTAACCACGTTCCTATTTTTAAGGAAAGATCAGATAATAATCTTCTGACCGTTCCATCTACTAGACGACATTTCGAGCCAGGTTTCGAGCAACATATTGGTGGCTTACTCACAGAGAAGTAATATCTACTGAATATACACTTCATAGACTATGCTGGGAATAACGCGGAAAAAAATAATGTACGGCTCAGCGACGAAGATCGCCTAGTTAGGGCCTACCTGGATAGGTAGCAGCACTAGTCCTTAAATCTTAGACAACTCACGCTCTCGAGTCTTAAACTATTTTAAAACTGCTATGTAAAAATTAAACAATCACGAACTTTTTGACCCCCCGAAGTTTTAAAATCGGCTAAATACTGAAGGAGAAGATTCAACAAAGAGTAATTTGTGATGTATGCCTCACTCACGCGGCCGAGCAAGTCTTCTGACACACTTGGGGCACAGACTATGGAAACCAGTATTATATTGTCTGTGCTTGGGGTTTCAGAGGAGTCAAAACATTTTTTGTACACTCTCAGCACTTTTTACTTAACGGATAAGACTGGATTTAACTGAAGTAATTCATTGAAAGGACTTAAGATAGTTTCATCTGATGTGGAAAGTTCTTCTTTGTAACAATTGTATAGTATTTTTAAACTATAAAACAAATTAGAAATTAATTCTTATGGCAGATAAGGGTTTAATTGTAACATAATTTGCTGGTTTTTAATATTCTGCTGTTTGATAATGATAAAAATTAAAACTTCACTACAGGCTGTTTTTATAACCAGTTTTAATTCCAGTCATGTCCAAGCCAAAGAATATTGTTAGCTTTTTTTAAGCAAAATTCAATAATTTTCATTGTAAGTAGTATTACAAAATGTGAGTTATATCAGTTGTATGATTTTGAATATAAACTGTTAGTGAAGAAAAATATTGTCAAGTGGTAAATATATCTTCCGAATAAAGGTAAAAGGAATATTAGGTAATTCAGGCAACAAAGATACAGTAACTATTAAAATTATTATATTTCAACATAAAAATTTGTATTTACAAATAAAATTATGTACACAATATAATAATTGTCGAGTACAATTGTACAATGAACCGTCATTACAAAATTACCCTTAAATCTATTTAAATATTCAGTAGGAATATATACAACATTTTAAAGACATAGTTTGAGCACAAGAAAATCATCGACCCTGTATTACTGTAAAATGTTCAACAGAAAACTCATTGTATAATTACGAGGATAACTGCAAACTTGTCTTAAATTTAGTAAGTCACACACAAAATAAAATACTAGGCTCAAAAGTGTTACATTAAAAAAGGAACCTCGAAAAATTCTGCGTAAAACACATGCAATTTGAAAATATCTACTGTGTTTTTGGCAAGAAAGTAAGATATCACTAGTTATTATATACCTGTTACAGGTACTTGCTGTTTCATACTTTATAATAGAAAAATACAAATTTTCTCAATTAGTTTGGGAGGTACAACCATACTTGTTTACAGTGTAGTTTTAAACGATTAAAAAGAAAAAGAAAAATGTTTTTTGAATATTTTAGAGTGTAATTTTTCCTATGGATCAAAAGTAAAATTTACAATGAGCGTGAAAATATAAATAAAACAGCCTAAGGAAACGATCAGTCTTGTGGAAAGAGACGAAGGCACTTGGTACAAAACTCGTATACTACATCGAGAAACTTGGTACAAACATATATACAACAAACGAAGGAGAGGAATGCAGTTAGTCTTTTGCTACAATGAGTACTGTGGCCAAGTACTGCGTCTTTTATTGCTTTGCGTTCTTTATAATTTGTATTAAATACTTTACACACTAAATAGTGTTCCAATGTTGGGTTATCACAATATGAAATATGATTTTAATATTATTATGAGCAATAGCGAAAAATAAGGCACTGTTTCTTTAAATGTGTTTGAAAAAAGGTACTACGTATTTTAAATGTAAAATTGTGAATATGCTGTAAAAGGCACTCCATTGATATCATCAGCTAAAAGCTCATTATGATTTATTTAAGTTAAAAATGCTTGTATAAAAATACCATACTATAATCAGTTTTTAAGTCCAATTAAAATAACAACAGCATCCTATGAAATGGAAATCTAAAGATTTAAAAGGGTTAATACTCAAACCATATAAATAACTTTTTAACAGCAGTAGCAAATTCAGGTAATCTCACTAGTACTTAGTTTTGAAATTTGTGTGTACATTTTTTAACTAAATTAATTTAAATTTTCAATATAAAATAATGAAGGTGAAAGACAAAAAACATTTACAGGTAGCGTATTTAAAATAATTATCAATAAACAACGTAATAGTTATACAAATTAATACATACATGACTTCTTAAGCATGAAATGAACAGTAATAGTTAAGTACGGTAATCACGTTAGGGGAAATTTTCCAGGTTGTCAAAAGACATTGGAGTTAACCTATGGTCTTTGACAATCAAATCAGGAAGGACAAAGAACAAAATAAATTGAGATCAGTGATGTGAGGAAAATCCTAAATTGTTCACAAAACCCAAATTACACTTAAATTTTAAATGAAGTCGATATATTTTTCAAGTTGCATTGGGAGTTATTGCTGTAAACCTATATGAAGTCCAAATTCAATAAACGTGACTTAATGTTTGATAAAATTAAACCTTTGAAGATAATAATAATGGTATACAAATAAACACAATACTTTAGACATAATCTCACAACACGGCCTGAAAAGAATAAATAGAACGTACTAACTAAAAGATATAAATTTGTTGATTAAGTAAAAGAAAGATATTTCTAGGAAGTGATTATACATCTCATTCACAAACAAATCTATCATCCATGACATACGAAATTACAGGTCGAGTGCTCGTTCCTTGCACAAGCTAATCTTTGGTTCTACGTAGGAGACTCCGTAAACCTAATTACCTACATTTTAGGCCATTCGACTATTGGTATCAGCAAATCGTTTGACCATTTAACATGAAAAATAACATTCGGTAAAGGCAACACTGACAGTAACGGATTGTTTAACCAACGATTCTTTGAAGTTGTAGCATAGACGTAATCCTACAACAATAGAAGTAATCATTCAAAATTTCTGCTTACAAATATATTTTTGAGAATGTAACTTTTTATTTTTATTACAGAAATTATTTATTCATTCGAGTCAGTTACAGTTGATGTAAAGTCGTACTGAATCGTCAAACTAATTCCCTAAATTCGGATGGACTTCGATAGACATAAGACTTAAACACACAGCAGTTCAAACTAAAGATACTTGTTTGTAAACACATAATTAAATCAGCGTTACCTCTAGCATCAATTGATTCGGGGTTTTACAGAGCGACCCTAGATGGAGGGCCAGAGAAACCCCTTCGCAAGGCCCAGAGCCTAGAAAGTTACTAGGACGTAAAATATATCGACTTCACAATAACTAGGAAGTGCGGACCTCAGCTGCTGTAGCAGGTTTTGCGGACGTCGGCGAGGATGACACTGAAGTCTTCGTCTGTCTTGTGGGTAGGCGGTGCTGGAGCCGCGGCAGGCAAGGGGTCGTAGTGGTCCTCCAGGAGGTAGGGCAACTCCGTCTTGATACCGGAGTAGCTAGCCGTGTGGTCCAGCACTGAGGGGTAGTAGCCGTACTGCTGCAGCTGAAATCGCAAATCATACGGTTTAGATATTACCTTAAAGCTAATAAGTGTCAAATGTTTATATTTTAAGACAACTGCGGAATGTAATGACACATTTAGTCTGTAGTAATACAAACTCTATGTATTTAATCAAAATGGTAATACTGAATACTGAATAACGTATAATACGTAAAATAAAACGTAAAAGTAAACCCGAAAGAAAAATGCAAATAAAATTTAAACAACAAATAAATATGGAAAACCTACAGAAATTCCCAGTGATACACTTTTAGGCACTGTACCTAATAAATGTACGATAGTAACTCAGTAAAAATAATATATTTTATTACATTATAACAACAGCAAATTATTTAAAACTGCAAAAGTAGGTAAAATGCATATAACAACAAAATGCATAAAGTTCAGCAAAGAAAAAGCTAAAGAAAAATCTAATTGTTATCTGTTGATTAAATACCAACAATAAACGAAAGTAACAAACAAGTAGAAAACAAAGAAACAAAAAATAAGAAGTATACCTGCTGTACCTGCTGCTGGTAGTTGTGGTTAGAGTCCAGCTGGTGCGGAGTGGAGGTGGGTACGTGGTCTAGGTCAGGCTGGTACTTGAGGTACTTGTCAAACTCATGAGTGTCCACTGGGGTGTCCTCGTCCAGTCGCCGAGGCTCGCTGAGGTCAGGGTAGCCTAGGGACGAGGACGGCAGCTGGTAGGCGAGGCGTCGCTGAGGAGAGTGCTGGTCCGATAGAACTGATCCTAGACAACAACAAACATTTAGCATGTAATGGTCAACTCAGTGTGAAGTACTTGTACATTTAAATTTTTTCCAACTTTGACAAATTTCGGGGTGGGTTGTTATAAATAAGCAATATTGAGTATTCATTTAGTTAACATAAATGTGCTATAGTAACGCACGCGGTGTTCCAATCGGTTAACTCTGACAGGCGTTGTTGTGTTTAGAGTAGTGCCTTTTGGAGAAAATCCGGGCTATAAGCAACACTAATGCGTTTAGCGACATATTGTAATAAATAATTTTGGATATGTAGACAAATACACTACGTTGCGTATTGCAACCTGAATATGAGTGAACTGTGAGTATGGAATGATGTGAGATGCCTTGTTTTGCAACAACAGACTTAAGACCATATGTTTCTTTAGCCAAGACTAACCATTAAATACCATCAAGCATAGCTGGATTCAATTTCAAACCAGCAAAAAACGCGATTTTTCTCAGCCTCGGATCGATTACCTTGTATCAAGTAAAAGTCTTGTAAGCGAACACTATTATACAAACAACGTTGTGCGCTGTAGACTAGTGCTGAATATTCTCCTATAGTTAATATTTTATGTTAAACAGCTCACTATTGACGTGAACAAAAGCTGACCGGAATCCTGTATTTTACTATAGAATGCACAGTTTTATTTATGAATAAAGTAATTTGCAGAACAGTTTCGTGTAAAAAATGATAATAAATAAAATATACCTGGAAAGAAGCAATATTATTGATAAATTGCCAATACTAATAATACTGGACTAAGATTCAAAACTTATATGGAATCTTTGTATTTCTCCTAAATATCAGACACTTAAACCTTTTCTACATACAAGAAATAGTTATAAAAAAACTACTTATGTAACTAAAGAACACGTTAAACAATACTAGTACACACCACCATTATAAAATTGTTAATTGTGTTTAGTTTATTCTTTGGCTATCGCATTAGTAGTTATGTGGCAACAAGCCGTCCAATCAGAAGATCGGCAAAGATTGGAGAATATTATCACAAAAATGTCGGAGAGAGCTTTGGCAATCGTGACAAGGAGATGGTGATTGTATCGTGACCCGCGAGACACGCCTCGAGCCCGACCATCGGTATTGAGCATTGAGCATCTACCATTGAGCATTGAGCATCTACCATCGAGCATTAAGCAACTACAATCAAACATTAAGCATCTACCACTGAGCATTGAGCATCTACCATCGAGCATTGAACATCTACCACCGAGCATTGAACAACTACCACCGAGCATTGAAAATCTACCACCGGGCATTGAGCATCTACTATTGAGCATTGAGCATCCACCATCTAGCATTGAGCAACTACCATCGAGCATTAACCAACTACCACCAAGCATTAAGCATCTACCACTGAGTATTGAGCATCTACCATCGAGCATTGAGCATCTACCATCGAGCATTGAGCATCTACCGTTGAGCATTGAGCATCTACCATCGAGCATTGAGCATCTACTATTGAGCATTGAGCATCCACCATTGAGCATTGAACATCTACCATCGAGCATTGAGCATCTACCATCGAGCATTAACCAACTACCACCAAGCATTAAGCATCTACCACTGAGTATTGAGCATCTACCATCGAGCATTGAGCATCTACCATCGAGCATTGAGCATATACCGTTGAGCATTGAGCATCTACCATCGAGCATTGAGCATCTACCATCGAGCATTGAGCATCTACCATCGGTATTGAGCATCACCATTGCGCATTGAGCATCTACCATCGAGCATCGAAAATCTACCATCGAGCATTAAGCAACTACAGTCAAACATTAAGCATCTACCACCGGGCATTGGGCATCTACTATTGAGCATTGAGCATCCACCATCTAGCATTGAGCAACTACCATCGAGTATTGAACAACTACCATCCAGCATTGAAAATCTACCACCGAGCATTGAGCATCGACCACCGACCATTGATCATTTATAATCGAGCGTTGAGCATCTAGCATCGAGCATTAAGTAAAGCGTATACCGTTCTGTACTGTATATTTTGTGGAGATTAACATATAGGAGTATAGGTAAAGAATATAGTGCGTAGAATACTGGCTTTAGAGTATTGTGTATAGAAAATAGAATACAGGGTATAGAGTGAGTAAAGTGTACTATATCGTGTATTGGTTTTTACAGAGTACAAATTATAGAGTACCTGTACTACATAATGTGATAGATTATAGCATAGCTTATATTATGCATTTTAGTTTATTAAACATTCATTAAAATTGGTTTATAAAATATTTTTAAGTTAACTACAGGCAGGTTTGAACACTCAAAACTTAAAACTGATCGTGATATAATCACCGAGTAAGTTTTTATTTTGTCAGTAAAGTTAAAGTAGTTAGCAAACTAGAGCATTATTCAATGCTTAACCAACGCTTCCAGGACAAATTGACTGATAAACAATGTTGAATATTTTAATTCAATACGTGAGAGCATGCTGGTATGAATCAGTTCAATTAGTGGATCTTTGCAATGATTCGAATCAAAGGAACATCACCGAGCACGACAATTGATGGTTACGGCATGCTTCGTTTGCCGATTGATTTGGTATTGGTCTACAATTATTCGTTTGGCAAGAGAGGAAACCCACAATCATACGTCATTTACGAATCTTTGGATTCCGTTCCCGACTATTTTCAAATTCTTTCCTCAACGTTGTTACTAAACTGTAGACTGTGATGTATTACTAAGGATAAAATATTTTTGGCTAGACGAAGCCTTGACACAGTAAATCCCTTTCAGTAATAGAATAGGATGAGTATCTAGTGCCTTTAGTGGAAAAAATAATAATAAATTAAAAGCATGTAGACTGGATCAAATAACCGAATTTTAAGGACATCTTAGCACAACGATAAAAATATATGATTTATTTGAATTAAAACAAGATCGCATTTTATCATATCATTAATACTATTAATGTGTAAAACTTCACTTGCATTGTTTTAAGGATCTTTAAAATTGTCCAATGACTTTTTTAGAATCTGTTATAATTATTTACTGTCTCAAGAGTTGTTTCGGCACACGTTTGGGAACATTTTTTCAGCATAACCCGGTGAACGTACGTATAGCACCAACCCACCTTATTGAATGAAAAACAACTTCAGTTTCCTCTATAAAACATGTGGTTAAAAATATATACTTATTTCAAGGAACACGTCAAAACTAATTGTAAACAGTTGCTACGCCATCCACTTTAATAAGCTTGCACAGAAATATCTTTCAGGAAAGATAAATCACTGGAAAATAAACTATAAGATTATTCATACACAATTCCCGGTCCAAATTGATTATTGCGAGGCGCGATTCTAAATTGATTAAGTGTAAAATAATTACAGAACAATGCAGGTACATACGTTTGTATCTGAGATAATTAACTGACACAGCCAATCTTGCCAACATATTTTGGCGGCGACTTTACATGAAGAAATAGAAATAGTTTAGTCTAGGTTGCTTCTCAGTAGATCAAGGTTTTACCAAGCGTCTTGTTTTTGCCAAAGTAAAGTCTGCGTGGTTGGATCAAATGTGTTTGTGTAAATTGTCATTTCACTATTAAATTGTGAGATTTCTTTCGACGCAAAGCTTGCGATTGCAGCACAACGTTAAGGAATGTCATTTATTGTTATACATGGACAACAGAGATCTTTACAGTATAAATGTCTAAATATTTATCTTGACGACGGCAAAACTTAAAAAAAAACGAGAGTTGCTAGATGAATTAATTTAATAGTTCACATCAAATTCGAGTGAAAACACTAGTTTTTGGCCAAAATACATGAAAATGTCAAGGAAAAACGAGCCTACTCTATAGTTCGAGTTATTTTGAAACTTTTTTTTTTACAAACTAATTCTAACATTATACTGAAACTGGAACGTTTACAAGACGATAAATATACTCGTACAGAAAATATGTTACACAGGTGATACTTTGTTTAATTAGTTGGTAACACAGAAAACATATATAGTTCGGCCGCTTAGAAAGCGACCTCCTCCAGCATTGGTTAGCGCGCAGGTCGTTTTCTAGGCGGCCGAACTATAGTATGTTTTCTGTGGTTGGTAGTCATCAGGCCCAACCGTAGACTGTGTTGTGTGTACCCATTCACATTCTAGCATATTTTTTATATATTTAGCTGTATGTTAAATGTTCTTAGTATATGTGTAAATACATATGATACTACTGTAGGGGTGAAAAGGTTAAAAAAATAGTATATTACGTTACTAGTCCTGAAAATAGATGTTTACCGGACGAATGTGGCTGTTACTAACTGAAAGAAATAATATCAGATAAAATGCAATTGGCTTTATCAAAGCCATGTTAAATAATTGTGAAGTATAGTATTCATAAATTATAATTTTAGCACCGACCTTGGTAGGAGTCTGTGTGCCTGAGTGACGAGCCAGGACTAGCACAGCTCGTATAGTGAGGGGTTGTTGATGGACTCATGGAGAGGCCCGAGGACGACGTATAAGCGGACATGAAGGCTCTAGAGGTCGGAGTATTGTACCCAGGGGACGGCTGGTCCTGGCTGGTCGCCACCGGAGGATAGAACGTGCCGGTGACCACTCCGCTGTGCTCGTAGGTCCCCAGGAGTCGCTGGTTGGTGCACATCATCACCATCCCCTTAGCCACCCCCATGGCGGCTATAGGGCTCTGCCCCTGCCCCTGGTACTGGTAGCCTTGTCTGTAAGGGCTGGAGGCCAGTCGCTGGTAATAGTCCTGGTGACTTGTGCTGTAGCACATACTGTTGTGGAACCGCTTATTGTCGCTGTATGCGCTACCCTCCTTGTTTTCCTGTAGGATATGTCAAAGAGTGTGTTTAGTATTAAGTTAGAAATGAAATAAAATAAAACAATGTGAAGCTGTTCAAACTTTAGAGTAATATTCATTGTGGCTGCGAAACATTTTTTTACGTTTACTATACCTCTCTAGTCTCATGAGTGACGAGCTCTACCTTACTCCAACTATGGTTTATTTTTCATAATTTGTTACTGCAAATAAAATATGCATTGAACACCGCACATTAATCAAGTGAACTGTCACAAATATAATCCTACCTATTCCCTCTCACTTTTCGTAATTGAATATTTCCAGATAATAAAGGAAAGACCAAGACTGAAGCAGACACGCAAAAATATCTACTTGGATCTGCTCTATAATCGTGCAGTTGCTGTTCTTTTGAAAGGAATCGTACCAAAAAAAGGTCCCCAAAATATTGCTGCTGCACACACATTATTTTATCGTATTCTCACATTTTGTTTCTAATGGTTTGTTTGGACAAAGCCCACATTCTGGTCTTTGCTTTTCGTCAACTTTCTTAGAAAATACTTTTTAGTGTCGAGGATATATTGTAGAATGATAAATTAAGTGAGCCAATAGCTTGATTGAAGTACTGGTTTATGGTAGCAATATAGTGGGTTCACGCCCACATAATGTATCAGCACAGTTCGTCCGTATGTACTGGCTCATCCCATGCGTTGCTTGACCCGTTCCAAGCACAAGCTTGAAGTCCATATGGACGTGCAAATTCAAGAATAAAAGAGGCCACCAACCTCTCGTATAAAAACTGTTTGACACTTGTTGCAAAACTAGACTATTTAGACATTTATCGGGTCCCACATTTTCCAGCCTATGAATCTTTACCTGCTCCATGGGTGACATCTCAGGGGTGGGCAGCGCGGTGGCCGGGTTGGTGTCCTCTAGGAGGGCGGGTGCCGAGGCAGTCTCCGGCTCAGGACTGGCCGTGGGCGAGGAGTCCGGAGTATGAAGGCCCGCAGGTGTGTAAGGTCCGCCGTAGTAGGGGGTGCGAGGCTGCGCTCTAGGAGGACTCGCCCCTAGACTGCCAGCTCGCTTGTTGTGCTTCCTTCGTCGAGGTCTGTACTTGTAGTTGGGGTGCTCCTGCATGTGGATCACCCGCAACCGCTCAGCTTCTTCCACGTACGGTCTCCGGTCTTGGGGGGTCAGACTGCGCCATTTCTTTCCTGAAAGAAAATTGGTTTGTTATTTCACAATTGGAAATACTCATAAACTTGAAATAATAACGATTTTTAATAACAAGTGTATTTCAACCAGTGTTGTTCGTATGAAGAAAAATAACTTTTTGGGGAAAGAGGTTCAAGTTCTAATCTATTATGAATATTATGGAGATATAACCTGTCTACTTCTCACCAAGAGGTGATTTGCTAACACTTAGCTGTTAAGACACGTATTTTATAATAAATGTTAAGAATTATGTAGGTTTGAATAATTTATATTATTCATAAATATCATTAATTGACTGTTAACATGCCAATATAAATAGTAGTGAGACAGCTCTTTTTGCCAATAACGTACTCGCAGATGAAATCTCAGTAAATTTATCGGTGTAACAAACCTTTACTACATATCCATGGTTCACAGTATACATTACAAATATACCCACGATGTAACGACACTCCTCGTTAACCTATTCACAATTACCTCTCCCAATTAAACCCCACCGGTCTGATTGGATCAGACCTTCAACACTCACGATCAGTCTCCAATTCTTAATCGATGCTCAACCTTCGTCGACGAGACAGCGATATTTATTACAGCTCCGGCCTTCTGTTCTGCCCTTTTGCAGAGCGAACCCGAGATTTATTTCATTTGCAAGTCAAGACTTGGAAATGACCAGACCGGGGTTGACTGACTACACCTTCAGCGGTGGTCATTGCTTGACGGTGACGGATAGCGATGTCTCTCCCCCCATCTCTCTCACTCACTCTCTCTCTCTCTAGATGCTCTCGTTTCTCAAGTGACCTCCTCAATTACTCTCCACCGCCACCGCGACAGACAAGTTAATAATTAAACCGCCTGATTGGTAAGTACTAATTCCTCGATGATCCGTCGCGGAGGTGACAATAGTGTCTGTTTGATTGGGCTTGTCTGATTGCTCACTACTTGATGAACGGCGTACTGTTCTCATTGCGTTAAATACACCAATTACGCCCTTCTTTGGTGCGAAGGCTTCGTTTCTGGTTATTTGCTCCCGGATTTTGATATTTGTAACGTGATGCCGTGATTGATATCAAACCATCGGTACTATCATGAATTACGTTTTCGTACTGCAAGTTCTAAGCTAGATGTTGTAGTTTTTGGAGTAAACGCCTTTAGTTGTTTACCCCACCATAGGGGAGCTACCTGTTTACTAAAAGCTAGTTTTGACAGACAATCTATCAATACACAAGTGGCTTTTCTGCTGAACTTGACGAAAAAATAGGTTACAATATCATGTATATATTTAGGCTGACACGTGGTATCCCTACCAAATGATCAATAAAATGACATATTAATAATTGAGAATCTATTTTATCTCACAATACACTTTTTTTAATGAAATAAACATTGTGGTGTGATTGTGTTAAAATATCACCATTAAATCTCAGGATCGAACGCTACCCAGCAATATTATCCACTATTATGATAAAATCAATATTCCAATAGTAAATTTAACACCAAACTAAGTACAATAAGCATTCACGGCGTCAGTAAAACTGGAGAGGCGTGGATTCGTTAATTTCAGCTTGGAGGCTTGCCACGTTGTTCGGACGCGTGTGGGGGTTATAATAGTTGTTGAGTTGTGTTTTTTTTATCTGTTAAATATATATTTTTATAACGAAGTAGTGAGTAAATCCATCGCTCTCGTTAGCTACAATATGGCCTAATTGGACAGCTACTAGACCCTAACTCGGCATGATTTAGTCGGCTGCCCTCCATCACCGAGTGTCAACCGTAACACCACCCGAGTTTTGGTAGTTTATTTCATCACAAGGGCCAAAGTGATAATCAACACGTGCTCAAAGTTAACGAAATGAATTAATGATTTAATTAAAGAGAAAAGTTCTTCATACTGCAGTTAAATCAGCAGTTTTTAATAATGCGTTTCTGGGGTTACTGGTTTTTCGTCCTTAGGAGTTTTCATTTTCTTCTTTTCTTCCTTGAGAATAAGCTTGAGTTAAGAAGATTATATTAACTGTTTCTTAAGCTATTAAAAACCCGATTCTGACGAAGAAAATCTTTTTCAATTAAAAACCTACTATCATAATAAAGTTATTCTAAATATGTGTGATTATGTGTACATTTTACTACGAATATTTTTTGACAGACACTTGTTAAAATGTCAAAACAAAAACACATACAGTATATGTTTTGGTACATGTTTAAACATCAACAAGCTGGAATGTTCAATCATCCAACGTTATATATGTTTAATAGCAGCACAAAGTAAAACGTTTATTGAGATGTTTTTAAATGAATATTCAAAGGCATTGAGTACAACATAAAATAACGCGAATCAATTGATATGTCTTCATTTCAATTCACCTACTCTATTTAAAAAATCAGAACAATTTGTTTATTGGTTCCATTTGTCCTCCACTACTAATTTAATTTATTCAATCGGCGTATTTAATAGTTCCATTGTGTACCGCAGCATTATAGTGCAACGGGTTAAGAAAGACATTCTTCTCTCTCCCCTGACAAATTAGGCTGTCAATTTTGTTCGACTGTACTGCTACAGACTTTCGAATGCCACTTTTTGAATGTTAATTGGTATTTCATATCATGTCAGAGATTTAATTTACCTGGTAATCAGTCTTTTATATGTTTTAATGTTGATAATCCTAGGCTATTATTGGGTGATACCTGAATACAATTACATAACCTCTAGTAAATAGTTGCATAAAAAATGTTGGGTCTAATATCTTGTTAAATATTTATTCACGGCTATTGATCCGGCTCGAAAGACTAAAATGTTTCTTATTATAAATAACTTAGCTGACTATTGTATTACGTGATTTATATTCATTGCAACTAAAACAGTCACGCATTCACTCGTTGTGTGACAGGCTTACTCAACTACTTAATTTTTCAATTAAAAATTCACTACAGTTGGTTCATATATATGGAGGATTAGAGAATGCTATTTTTCTCAGCAAGACACACTCATGGCAAGTATCCTTCAGTATCCAAAAGTCAATGGTAATACAGTACCTAACTACTAACGTAACATCATGATGACTTGCAATCTGGGTAAAGTCGTTTTAATAGGTACCATGCACAGTGCACACAGACCATGAAGAAGTTTGAGTTTGTACTGTATCGAGTGTAGAGACCGTGAGAGAAAGGATGGGAGGACATGGAGCACTAGTGCCCTCTGACCTGGGCAAATTGGAACTGCTCCACCAGGGCACTTGTCTGGGCATTGGCCACACATAAACGCGGAGATTTCTCTATGGATTTGTTTTAAAACGGGCAATACTGAAAGATGGACATTTGACAAAGCATGACCGTTAAATTTTGATAGTGCAAATCTAATATTATCGTGACTCATAACAGACGTTGTGAATTCTTCTCCACGAAGATCATATTTTGATATTCTATTTACGATATACGTTGATAGGCCTATGTATGTATTTACAATGCTCGGTTTCTATGGTTTGGAGTAGCCTAAATTAATTATTTTCAAGAGTTAACATGGGTACGCACATGGGGAGATTTTAAGTCAAACCTGTGTCCATTGTAACTCTACTTGGATACGCGAGTAATTCTAGTGCGACCCTATTCGCCTAGGTTCAATCCTGAGAAAAGTCAGAAGCTTGTGTATGCTTCCCATCCGAAAACCAAAACGATAAACACTCAAATCACACAACTAGAAACCGAGTACTCTAACGAGTGACTTTCTCCGGTAGTAGCTCGCGCCGCGGGGCCCGTGTTAACAAGAGACCTCTAATCGAATGATATTAAGCTGCGTGGAGGTGCCAAAATAATTTACAGCCGGCGGCGTGCCGCGTGGGCCTTCGTCATCCTCCGCTCATTATTTACACTCGCGATTTTGTCGAGCATTTTGGATTACAGGAAATGGGCATTCAGCACGGTCGTTGACATGGTAATGAGCACGTAGGTGCTGAAATGTGTGCTTCACTGTAGGGGTTAGGGTCATCTCGCTGTTGGAACTTTGTCACAAGCGACAAGCGAGTGCTTAGTTGTGGAGGTATTTAGAACGACTATGAGGTAGAGGTATCGCTCTATCATTTCACAAAGACAGCAACGCACTTTATGTTGGTAATTTGAACTGTGCATTCAGAGTATAGAGTGGAGTGAGATAACTTGTTTGTATTTGTTTTAGGCTAAGATAATTTCTTTAGCCAGGACCATTTAGTTTTACAGATCATAATAGTTTTCTTTCGAACAATCAAGGACAGTTGGATAACATTTAGGACGTTAAACAAACTGCAATATTTATAGAACTGTGGAAATTGTAATATAAACCGAATTTAATCACCTTCGAATACCAAAGAAAATCTTCAAAAACTGAAACAGACTATTATATTTTGTATTGAAAAATCTTAGAAGGTGCAATTAATAGTTTAGGAATTGTTAGAAAAAAATTATAGTAAGAACATGCTGTTTTAATAAAGATTATTCAAATAATCTAAAATGTTTCTGATGCTTTTCTTTAACTTTCGTCCCACTACTACTGTATTACCTTGAAATCATCCAGTTGTTAAACAATCTAAGGTATACACACTTTTGACCTCAAACACAAAAAAAGGAAATTCTGCAAGTTTCTAACCAAGACAAGTTTAGCCAAAGGATTTCTGACGCGTGCTGTTGAATGAGACTCGTATCTGACAGGTAAAAAACCAAAATGACTGGAAAAAGCGAAACTTGAACTTATCCTATTGTTGCCAACCAGCTGACTGAGATTCCGCGAAGGGCGGTGTAAAAACGCGGCAATAGTGTTTAGTTGCAACGTGTAAAGTTACATGATCTCTCGCGTGTAGGCGTGTGGATGACACGCTCCGCACGCGGCGAGATGAGACGAAGTAGAGTGACATAACACTGTGCTGATTATTGACATTTCTTCTGCAACAAAATATATTATTTTCTTAGTTATCTGAATGCGTTATCTAAAAGGTTCTTAGACTGATCAATTTATAGAAACGGTCGTGTTTTGGTA